TTGTATCCAGTTTAGGATGGATGTTGACAAAGTGGCATGCATCCAGAAGAAGAAAACCAAGATGACAAAAAGTCTGTAAATTCTATGAATATTTGAGCGTGCTAGGTATTTTTAGCCTGGAGAAGAGGAATGATATGATAACCATCTTTAAATATCTGGGCTGCCATGTGGAAGATGGAGAGATCTTGTTTTCTGCTGTTTCAGAGGATAGGGCCCAAAGTATTACATTCATTTTACAAGAAAGGTGACTCTGATTAAACTTTAGGAAGAATTTCCTCACAATAACAGATGCTGACAATCTGAGAAGGTGGTAGACTGTCCTTCATTGGAGGTTTTTAAACAACAACTAGACAACCACCTCTCCACAGTACTTTAGCTCTGGAATTCAGTTCTGGCAGGGATTTTCATGAAATGGCTCTGGAGTCCCTTCCAGTTTTATGTCTCTGGATGGCAGGCTACTTAAAGACCCTGCTTCAAGACTCCTTCTCTTTCTCCATTCTCAGGGTTCTTACATTGTCATCTAAATTTGGACTGAACAGCTTATCAAAAATAGCATCATATGCTTTTTAAATTGCTTTTAGTTTGTTGGGTTGTTTTTATATGGTACGGTTGCTCTTCTAACTTGTTAATCTCTTTCATTGTGTTTTCATATTACAGTTTGAATATCAGATATCCAGAATCCCAAAATATGAAATACTCCCAATTCCAAAATTGTTCACATGAGTGGCTGAGATAGTGACACTTTTGCTTTCTGGTGGTTCAGTGTATACAAACTTTGATCCATCACCATTCAGTGTTAAATTTGACACCACTTTAACTGCCATGACTTAGTGGGATTTGTAGTTTTATGAAGTATTTAGCCTTCTCTGCCACAACAAACTACAAATCTAAGGGTTCCATAGCAATAAGCCATGACACTTAAAGCAGTGTCAAAGTGCATTATTTCTGCAGTGCAGATGTATCTGCAGATACCACCCTTACCTAACTTTGTCTATTTATGTTTGGAAGTCTAAACAATAGGACCAAAATAGCAACAGGGTTACAGATATGTAGAACAAAGGAACAACAGACTAATGATCCACTACTGGAGAGAAATAACATCCATTGATTTGTTTTCCCTGCTTTCTTCTCTTTCTTGGATATGCCTACACAAAGCACTTTGCGTTAAGAGAGGTAAATGCATACAATGCTTGACTTACTGCTTTACGCAAAGGAATGATTTGAGCACCTGCTTCAACTGATGCAAAAGGGTAAAAAATGGCTGAAGTTTTCTGCTGAAGTTAGTGTGGTGGCAGTGTGTGTGTGAAAGAGAGAGGGGAAGAAAGAGAGCACAAACAAGTGCAATCATTAACACAGGAAAGAGTTGCTTGGATAGAAAGCCCTGGGCAGAGGGGCCATTAGACCAGGTTTTGTAGCTTTCCATGAGATCAACAGGAAACAGTCAGGCAAAGTGGAAGCAGACTTTAGTACTGTATTTTTTCTGTTGTTGGATTGGTTTTGTTGATAGCTTACCATTCAGGGCCAATGCAAACCAGCCTAAAGAGGTGGCACAAAGCCACCCCTGGGAGCGGTGGATCAGGGCTCCAGCAACCACATGCCAAAGCCCCGATCCTCCTTTTTGCCACCCCCAAAAAAAGCACCAAAATGCTGCTCCTTTTGGGGGTGGCAAAAGGTCACCCTTTCAGCTGCAGCAGTAGCTTTCTTGCACCCTTTTGGCGCAACATGTGCGCACACTGCACCAAGAGGGCGTCCTGATGCCACATGCCATGCGTACAGGCATGCAGCATCAGGGCAGCATCGGGGTGGAGTCCAGGCAGCCAGTGTGCAGCTGCGCTGCCCCAACTCCAGCCCCAGGCCAGCCCTTTAGGATAGAAACTGCAAGGAAACCAAGAGGACAATTTCATCCTTGACTCTCCTGCAGGCCACACTGCCCCACAGAAAGTCCAAATCACATTTTGCTCTATAATCCCTCTCAGTAGATGTAGAGAGTTACATCCTTTCACTTCATGTCACCATTTTATACAACTGCTGCCTATTTCCAGGCCCATGTATCTCTGATAGAAAAATAGTTTCTCCTATTCTTCTTAAAATATGGAATCCAGATGTCCAGTCAGCTAGCCTGGATTAACCTGTTATTTTTAAAAAAACTGATACAAGAATTTAGATTTTAAATGCACATGTAATGTACTTTTCAGAAAGGGTACATATTTTCTTTCAAAGTTTGTATTTCTGAACATGTCTTATCCTAAAATTTGGTTTTATACATCCTTCCTTATGCTGTTCAAGCCAAGATCTGCCTTACAAAATTATACAGACGGAAAGAATATTCAAAAATATTTGAAAAAGAGTTGTTGGTGGTGGTAGTGGTTAAAAAAATATTTCTCAGTTGTTAAGAAAGGAAGAGAAGAAGAGAAGAATCCTAGAGTCGTGGGAATGTTCACAATTCAGGATTTATTCTATGCAGAATTCACACATAGATTTTATGCAAAAATACCACATGTGAATTTTGTACAGAAAAGTCCTAAACTGCAAATTGTCTTCAAAAACTGTGTAATTTTCAAAGATTTTCTTGTAGCAAGAAATAAAATGCTAAAGTTACTTATTACTTCCTTTAAGAACAAAATTAGCAAAGATTTGCATCCCTACAAAATTCAAAATCTGAAGAATACCTATATTCCATTCTACACATTAGCTCAGCAGGTTCAGAGCAAGTTAACATGCTTTGAAATCTGGAGACCAAACAAAAAAGAAAATTGAGCATCCTTGTTAAACATTAACAAATTAATTTTGGGTTTATTTTCATCACTTGGTGGTGCTACAAGATTATTTATCATGCCCAACTTTCAATACCATTTTCCCCTCTTTGCCCAACACAAAGAAAGCTGGATTCTTATTGGCTCTGCTTTTCCCATCAGGACAGTATTTATTGTTGCATACCAAAATGAAAAACAAAAAGAAGTTGCAGTTTCTCTATTCAAAAAAACAAAGTGAATAGTGAGCATAATGTGCAGATGATGACTAAAATGAACTTGTGCTAGCATCGGTTCAGAAAATCCTGTTTTGCCCCTTCTTTGAATGAATTCTTAAAAATGTTAGAAGTGTTAACAACAACAACAAAAAAGGGAGGAAGCAGACGAGGTCATTCTGTACAAGAACCTTTGCTGGAACTATTAGTTAATTATTATTATTATGTGAGATGTTATACATGCAGTAAAGTCATAGTCCATCATAGAGTTTCAGCACTTCAACTATTCTCTCCAAAACAATTCATAAAATTACTCTTCCCAAGAGGCACTGGTTTCATTGCTATCCTTCAGGGCTTTCAAGGAAATTTAAGCAGCTACTTTAGGAAGCTTTATGTCAACATTCCTTTTGCCAGGGTGGGTGAGGAGGTTCAGTGGCATCATCCATTGGCATTTCTCCAATGCCATCTTTCTATGAGTAACCCTGCACTCATTCACTTCCTGACACTCTTAATGTCATAGCATCAGCATACTTTGAAGTTTGATGATCCCCAACCAAAAATACCCTGACTAGCTTCAAGCATGTCATTCAGATGTCCTTTGGTAGCCTACCATATAGGGGTTTTGTAAGCACTATTATTAATCTGAAACTGCCTGTGTAGGCAGCTTAAGCATCACTCTTCCAGCTCACTTCAGCAGTAATAGGCTTCATCTACTTAATTACTGAGTTTATTCACCCGTTCTTAGAATTGTATATTATTATGGGTGATTGCATTATACCATTTTTATCCATGTTTATAGAGAAAGCCAATGTTAAGTGTACAGCTGAACTCCCAATGGGTGGAATTGTGTCCATTCACAAACACTGTAGGAAAGTGTGAGAGGGGAAGAGTAAAAGAAACTTCAAAAACGTTAGTGCTTGTAATGTAATGTTCAGCTGTTTTCTTTATCCTGAAAGCCCTGCTTTATGCCACTTCTATGCTTAAATGAATAGATTTGATTAATATTTAGAAACTGAAGCATGACCTGTGATGTGTCACTGTAAATGCATTTTTCAAAAATTATGGCAGCCACTTGTCACTTCTAAGGAACACAACATGTCTTATCAGAACCTGCAAAAATATATTGCATGGTTGAAAGATCTGGGGTGTTATAGTCCCCAAAATAACATGTCTCAGCTCTGGTCACTACTGCTGTTGACACACACTATTGCGGTGGCAGTTTCATGCACCAATTAGGTTGGAGGAATAAAAAAGTAAGATTAGCTAAGCTACAGCTCTGAACTGACCACTTTAGTTCTTCAAAAGAGAGGTCATAATCAGCACTTACTATTAAAGCAGCAGCTGTAGCTACTTTTCAATGGCAGATTTGATCCAGTTATGAAAATGGAGATTTACCATTAGAAGACTCATTCCTTCTGAAATTTAGGGCCTTTACAGACTGCCAGAAATAGTGCAACTTGAGGCCACTTTAACTGTCCTGGCTCAGTGCTAAGGAATCATGGGAATTGTAGTTTATTGTGGCACCAGAGCTCTCTGACAGAGAATGCTCAGTGTCACAGAAAAAAATACAGTTCCCATGTTTCCTTAGCACTGAGCCAGGGCAGTTAAAGTGGACTCAAGTTGCACTATTTCTAGCAGTCTGTAAAGGTGGAATGTCATCAAGTTTGGTCAGTCTCTCTTCTATTATAGGATTTTGTGTCCTCTACAATTCCTTCAAGTAGAACATGGGGCTGGTAACAAAAGTAAGTGACAATTCATTTATTAAAAAGAAAATGCTCTTTAAAAAATAAAAAGTTTAAAAAGATTTTAAAATAAAATAAAATATGTGTAACTCTTTGACCTATGTATAACCTATGTATTAGTGGATATGTATAACCTCGAGAGCAGGTCGAGGGCCGAGGGACTTCAGCTCCCAGAATCCCAGGAGCTATTGGCCAAATCCCAGACTATTGGCCAACATGGCTGAGGCTTCTGGGAGCTGAAGTCCCTCGACCCTTAAAAGGGAAAGGTTGCCTATCCCTGCTCTATAGAGAGCACCAGTGTGATGTAGTGGTATGAGTGTTGGACTAGGGCTCTGGAGACCAGGGTTCAAATCCCTGCTCAGCCATAAAAACCCACTAGGATGACATTGGGCAAATCATATACTCTCAATCCCAGAGGAAGACAATGCCAAAACCTCTTTCACCAAGAAAACCTCATGATAGGTCCACCTTAGTGTCATGATAAGTTGAAAATGAATTGAAGGTACACAACATCTGTCCTGTTTTGCTCTTTGGAAGTAAACCAGATTCTCAACAAGAAAGCACAGCATCCACAGAGTTACAGGAAGAGAGTCAGAACTCATCAAAATATCGATTGAGGCAGTCTAGTCAGGTCCAAGTAATCAACTTTTCAGTAAACACTCCAGGCAGTAGTCAGGATTCCATGCAGATTTCAACACAAACAGGCAAATAGTAATGGAACATGGCACCAGTATTGCCTCTACCAAGAAAGGTTGATTGTCAGAGGCACTTGTCTGGAGGAGATGCTGTTATTTATAGCCCACTCAAGTCTCACAAATGCTCATTAACTGCTGTGTGCTTCCTATATAAATGACTTTCCTTTTCTTGATGATGCTCTGCTGGGATAGGTATGGATAAGTCCACATCTTCCTCTGAGAGTTTTGGTTTCTGAGAACTCTTGTGGCACAGTGGTTAAATGCCTGTACTGCAGCCACTCACTCATAGACCACAAGGTTGTGAGTTCAATACCAGCCAGGGCTGAGGCTCGACTCAGGCCTGCATCCTTCCAAGGTTGCTAAAATGAGTACCCAGATTGTTGGGGGGCAATCAGCTCACAGTTGTAAACCGCTTAGACATCCCATAGCGCGATATGAAGCGGTATATAAATGAAGCTGCTCTGCTCTGCTCCTGTGGCTGCAAACCTGGTATGCCCTCTGGGCCCTCAGGATCTCTGTCACAGCCTTCATTCTCTGAATCAGGAGGCAGGGTATGACAACACCAACACCAACACCATCACCACCACCAAAAACAACAACAGCCCCTAGAGACAAAAAGAGAAAATTGGGAGCAAGGGTGAATGAATTTGCCAAAATTCTTCCAGGATGGAACTATGCTTGTTCAGCACAGGTATTGTAAGGCTTTTTTTATGGGGAAAATGCTATCTTTATTGTGTACATTTTCTAAATTGTTGAAAATGCATTAATGAATGTATGCTCCCATAGTCTAAAGTGTACTTGTGCACATTTTGAAAACTCTACTCAGTATGATTTCTGCAAAGTTTTCAAATTGTCCAATACATTTTATTTTATTTTATTTTTTAAAGGAATGTATCATTAGCCCTGAAATGTACAGATTTCTTGTTGTGGAAAATCCATATTAAAAACCTTGACAAAGTTAATTTCTTATACCTCTCAGCTTGGACATTGTGGCTGAATCTTATTTTCAATAGTTTATTGATGTCTTTCAAATCACTTTATTACCCATGATGTCTTGTGATATCAACCCTTGAAAGCAAATACCCTGGTACCACAGGGAGTGGGGTGGGGGATGCGCCAGTTTTGTCTGAGGTAATGGCATAGTGGTGTGAGCATTGAACTATGACTCTGGAGACCAGGATTTGCTTTCCCACTCAGCCATTAAACCCAGTGGGTGACCTTGGGCAAGTCATACTCTCTCACCCTCAGGGAAGGCAATGGCAAACCTCTCCTTAACAAATCTTGCCAAGAAAACCCCATGAAAGGTTTGACTTAGGGTTGCCATAAGTCAGGAACAATGTGAAGATACACAGCAACAACAAAGTAAATGAACAGAATGCAAGAATTATGAACAGTGTAGTCATGGTGCCCATCAATTTTGGGCAGAATTGAGGGCAAAATACAGGTTTGAGGAAGATCTGCTCAGCTGGACTTTTGAAAACTTTAGTGAGGGTGTTTCAGGATCATATCCTTGTCCTTTGTTTCTCTGGCAACTGTCCTCCAAAAGCATTAAAATCTGGCAGAACATTTGATTTTCCAGTTGATTGGCAACCTTACCTAGCATGAGTATAATATGAAATATACCAGCAGATAGGTGTGTTAATGCCTAGGGAAAAAAGGGAAATGTGTTGGATGCACATGACTCATGACAGGCAAGCCTTATTGGTTTCTAATGGATTGACTCTAAGTATGACTACATGTAGAGCCAACCCAGTATTTCCTGTTTTCACTAGCAGAAGTAGAAGAAATTTATAAAAAAATATAGGGCCTTTACAGACTGCCAGAAATAATGCAGCTTGAG